AGAAGGAGAAGAAGAAGAAGAAGAAGAAGAAGAAGAAGAAGAAGAAGAAGAAGAAGAAGAAGAAAGTAATTGTTGTTGTTATCTTGGCTCCCCTTCCCTTTCTCTGACTTGACCACGCCCTCCTGCTCCAGCTCTTATATTCCCTACTTGGCTAATGCCAGCTGATCTGTTAGTCCCCCGAAAGGCTATACGTGGTCCTATATGTGTAGGCACTTTAAAGAGTCTATGAATGCAAGCTTTGAAATAATCTGATCCACCTGATTTGTCCAAGAAAATGAACTGGTAAATGGCAGAGCTGGCACTAAAAAGCCAGGAATTATGACTCCAAGGCAAATATTCTTTACTCTGTAGCCATAACCTTCTCATCAGAGTGTGAGCCGTGGACTGCAGCACTGGCATTACCTGGGAGCTTGTTAGAATGTAGATTCTCGGGCAACCCCCTTGGATCCCCTCCCACTGTGGGAGCTTTTCTGTCCTCTCAATAAATCTTGCTTTAAAAATAATACACCCAGCAAAAAATGATCTCATTCAACGTGAAAAAAAAGAAAGAAAGAAAATAGAATCTCAGCTCCCACCCCAGACCTGCTGAATCTGAATCTGCATTTTCACAAGATCCCTAGGAAATAATATGCACCATAAAGTTTTAGATGTATGCTAGCTACTTCTGACACAAATGAAAGAAAATCAACTATTGAAAGATGCAGGTCTGATAGTACATGTGTCTTTTCCCTCCAGCTCTTTGAATCCTTAGGGTATAGAAAAAAATAAAAATGTATAACAACTGCCCCAGTCTGGAATTTTTAAAGCCATCAGAGTTGGAAGTAAACTAGAACAAGGTCTGTGCTCTTTGGGGTGGTAAATCTAGCCCCAGTAGAAAGTACGTGCGAACAAAAGAACACAACTACAAATCAATTGCAAAATCACCCTGGTGACTAGATATGTGAGTCTTTCCCAGTTTAAACTATCTTATAAAGACATAAATATTCACTTGACAACTTTAAGATTTGGAGGTTAGAGTTTTCAAAATATTGATCAGATGTGGTCTTTTCCACTTCAATTAACAACACACGAAATGTAGGCTGTAGCCTATGAGAACTTTCACTTCCTTTGTGTTTATTGATCACCTAATTGAGAGCCTGTTCTAACACATTCCAATGTGTTTGAAGACAAGTGTCTATTTACTGCTAGTAAAGGCTCAGGCTCTTCAGCTTGGCTGTGAGCACCTTGAAAGGAGGAGGTAGAATTAAACCTTCCATGGTGGTGCCCAACCAAGTGGCATCTGTGTGTAAGGAAACTTTTCCTTTTTACATAGTACTGATAACCCTCTCCTAATATTACTTTATGATTGTACATGGCTTTTTATTGTGATCCACTTAAAACTCTTTTTGTAAAGGAGCAGGGAATCAATATATTTGTGTTATTTTTAAGGTTGCTATATGGTAGATTCCAAGGGAGTTCTATTGATTAATTAAAACATATTGCCCAGCCAGGTGCAGTGGCTCACGTCTGCAATTCCAGTATTTTGGGAGACTGAGGCAAGAGGATTGCCTGAGCCCAGGGCTTCAAGGCCAACCTGGGCAACTTGGTGAGACCTCATTTCTCCAATAAATAAATTTTTTAAATTAGCTAGGCGTGGTGGCATGCATTTGTAGTTCCAGCTACTTGGAAGGCTGAGGCTACTTGGAAGGATCGCCCAAGCCCAGCAGGTTGAGGCTGTGGTGGCCGTGAGCATGCCACTGCCCTCTAGCCTGGGCGACAGAGTGAGACTCCAATTCAAAAAAAAACATATTCCCCATGAGAAGCAGGGCTACCTGCCAATGTTAGTTGCAAAGAGGAAGTAATTTTTAAAAAAAATTTAGTGAATAAAATTTTAGTGAAATATAACAAAATACCCCCACAAAAAAACAAATCTTATGTGCACATCTTGGTGGATTAAAAAAAAAAAAAGTTGTGTTAGACAAAAAGTGAACATACCTATGCAGCCACTACCAAAATGAGGAAAGAGAAGCTTGTCAGCATCCCAGAAGCCTCTACATTCCCCTTCCTATACATTGTCACTGTCCTCCTTACTTCCCAGAGGTTGCCATGTTAGAGAGAGAAGTATCATCTAATGTTTTGACAGGATAGCAGATGTTAAGAAAGTAGTGACGTAATCCGAGAAACTTACCAGAAAAAAGAAGTGGTTGTATGATGAAAAGACACTCTAGTCAGTCAAATATTGATGTGACTTTGAAAAAAACCTGTGAGTCTTACTTTTCTTTGCTATAAAATAGGAATGATAATACCTGGCTTATAATTTTTGAGTAAATATGTTAGACAATATCATGTAAAGCATATATATAACCTCTGGAATAGAGGAAGCATTCAATAAATGGTGATTGTATTAGGGCACACAACTTGGGCTCCAAAGTCACTTCAATGGGCATCACATTCAGTCTCACCTAAAATAATAAGCTTTGTGAGAAGAGTGGCAGCTTTATACACAGAGAACCTCAGAAATACACACACACACACACACACACACACACACACACACACACACACACACATACATATTTCACAGGGACAAGCCCATGGAAACAAGCTCACACAACAAGAAGCATGACTTCTGAGCAAACATTCCAACTCTGATTTCCTAAGTCGACTATCTTCTTTCTCAGGGAGTACAGTATGAGACACAACAAAACTGCTCATTAAAATTAATTCACCTATATGAAAAACATATTCTGTTACATAAAAAATTTTTTTTGATCATTAACATTGGATGGCACTTGAACTTCAGCTGGTCTCAAGAGTTGGAGGCTGACCCAGACAAGCCCAAAGACATCTTAGATGATTCCTGGAGTGTGGGCTGGAAGCTGGGAACTGCTTGGAAACATTGCGTTCATCCATCACGTGCTTGGAGTTTTTAAATAGAGTTGTTGTTCTCACAAATCTGAATATTCGATGCAACTAAATAATTTAAAACATGTGAACAGACTTGCTGCTCTTTTCCTCAGAGAACCTTAGTCCTCTCTTGCTACCGGCACAGCCTTAAGAGCCTTCCAGGGCAATGATCGGAGTTAGGAGCTCAGGAAGAGCCCATGAGTTGGGCCCCGACTGTGCCAAGACCTGACCTTGAGTCCTGGGCAAATGAAAATATTTTTATTTCATTTTCACAAAGAGAGGCAAATTTTTGCCCCAGATACCAGTAAATCGGGACAGAGGGACTTCAGTTCAAGCATTGCTTCCTAATTCCCCATCACCAGTGCTCTGAGGAACACACATCCCAGTCTTGTTTGATGAGAGACAGACAATTACTAAGCCAAAGTCAGTCTCCTCTGCAGCATCTCAGAAAGACCAGGGGGCAGAAAGATGTGGGCTGTCTGCCCATTCTTCCAGGGCTTTGTCCTTGTTGGATAGAAAGGGACAATCAGGGAATTAGGACTAAAGGTCTCTGTCCTCCAAAGTGTTTCCATTCCCTCTGACTGCTCTGATACCTCTTCTAGGGGAAGGGCAAAGGCAAGGTCATCCCTACCACTCCCCCTCTAGCCTCATCCTATCTTCCTTTTCTACTGCTCATCTTGTGGTTTCTGCATCCCTCAGTCATCCATAAACGCATCTCTCCATTTAGCAAATATGTGTTGAGCATTTCCAAAGTGAATGAAACTATACCATTCACTATGGAAAACACACACACACACACATGCACACAAAATGTTTCCCACCTCAGTAAGTTTGTGGTCTATCAGGCACGCAAACAAATTGCTATAATACTGGATAGCTCCAGCAGTGACCTAAGAGAAGTACAGAAAGTTGCAGAAGAATGACCCAGGAAAAAGGGGTCACTTCTGACATCATTTGAAATGCCCTTTCTCCCTTATAGCCTCTGGTTAAAGTTAACACCCAAGAGAGACAGAATTTCACATACCATCCAGCCTCCCTCCCTCATGGGGCTGTCACCTAAAGAGCTGAGAGAAACATG